TTATTATGACATTAAATAGACAAGTTTGGCGCAAACAGAATTTAAATTGAAGTTTGCGAAAAAAAGTTAGTTTTTTGTGTCGCCTCACCTGGCTTCTGGCCCCCCATTTGAGATAATTCAAATTAAAGTTGTGCAATTTATACTTCACTATAATTTATCGGTAAATTTAAAATTTTATTTGAAAAATCCAAATATTACAGATTTTATACCATATTAAATATTTTTTTATTATAATAAAATAAATAATAAAAATTTAAAATCGTATAAAATCTGTAATATTTATATTTTTTAAATAAAATTTTAAATTTGTCGATAAATTATAGTGAAGTATAAATTGCACAACTTTAATTTGAATTATCTCAAATGGGGGGGCCAGAAGCTAGGTGAGGCGACACAAAAAACTAACTTTTTTTCGCAAACTTCAATTTAAATTCTGTTTGCGCCGAACTTGTCCATTTAATGTCATAATAAACTATTATAAATTTGGTGTGGGTCCCATGTCTAATAACTGAGATATTGGTATACCCAAAATCCCCAATCCGCCACTGAAGGTAGCTTTTCAAAAGTTTTAGCACTGTACCTCTGACTCCATAACTTTCTGGCACATTTAGAAGTCTATTATGAGAAACAGTGTCATAAATAAGTATTTTTTTAGTAAGTAAGATAAATATTTGTTTTTAGAAACGATGATATTAAGTATGTAATGCATGGCATATGCTCAAAAATCAGCATGCTTTTGCAAAACATTAAAAATGCAAACAAATATACCTATGGTAAGTAAAGTTAAAAGTGTAGGTATACCTACACTTTTAACTTTACTTACCATTTTATTTTAAGTAAATTGTGTAATTTGGTTAGAACTAATTCTTACCTTAGCACGGTGGTCAAAACTTAAGTATAGGACGAACAAAAATGCCAACCAAAACTGATAGCATATTTTGATTATAGACCCTTTTGGTAACACTAACATGTATTTATCAAAATCCCAGATGATCCTATTTTAAAGTTTTGCAAACTTTTTTGTTTTTCTATTTTTATATATTATTTTGCAAATATTGTACTAAAAATACCTATACAATTTTAATAAAATTAAGCAAAATAATAAACTTTGTATCATTTAAATTACTTTACTCCCCAGTATTAATTTATTGAGTCACCTATTATTTTTTACCACTCAAAACAAAACATAACAAAAAAAAAACGAAGATTTATATCTTTAATATTTTTTATAACTAAAAATACTGGAAGTTTGTCTATGAAATAATTTTAACTTGCAAATTTTATAAACCAATAATTAAGGTGGTTATGAAAAAAATTGCTATACGTTATAACGCAAGTGACATTTTGCTTTAGTTGTTTATTTAATGTATACTTTATAAAGTTAAAAATAGTATTTTAAAATGAAAATTAAACCGAAATTCAAGTTAAGCCATGAAGAAAATCGAAAGAAGGTATGACATACCTTCTTTTGATTTAAAATCGATGGTATGTGCTGGCTTTGGAGACAAAATTGTTTTTGGTAATCGAAAAATTCAGAGTTTAGGGTTTCTGAGAAAATATAAAAATTACTGCAGACTTTTTCAAACGAACACTTTAACTTAAGTGATTCAAAATTACCTACTTCAATATGGTAAAAACGGTATTTTTCCATAGCCACAATTGCCAAATTTTCAAAATTTAGAAATTGCTAGAGAATTTCGTGGCAGCCAAGAATGTATGTGCTTTATCTGCAAAATGGCAAGATATAAAGGGCATAAAAAATTATTAAGGGAAGAGGACAGACGAACGAACTAAAGTTTGTGCTCTTCCTTTCTAGGGGATATCGCAAGATGTAAGAAGCATTTTTGTACAGAGACTGAAGAATTTAAAAGTACTGTTTCCATGTTAAAAACAATTCCATGTAAAACCCAAGAAAAAGTTTTACTGAAAATTTAAGGTAATCAGTAATCGATTTTGCTTCAAAGAATCTTTAGTTATTTATTAGTTTTGTATTAGATACCTTAAAACAATAAATAAGATATTGCAAACTGTATTTTAGAATATTTTGTATCTTATATAATGTAATTTATCCATATTTCATGTATCTGCCAAATTTTTTGAAAAACATTTGATAATGGTACCTACTAGAGTATTTTATCGAAATGGCATAAACAATTTTAAAATACTAAGATATATGCAAAACTTTAATAAAGGATCAGCTGGGATTTTTATTAATACATTTTTGTGTTACCAAAACAGTCTATAATCAGATCAGTTTTGGTTGGCATTTTTGTTCGTCCGATACTTTAGTTTTGACCACCGCGGTGCACCGTGTTAGGTTTACTAATTTTGTCACTAGACATTTTTTTAATATTAAATTGTTCGTACACAACTGCAGTTCTGTTCAACTGTTTTATTAGCTTACCTCATGGACGCACCATGGTACATGCAGGTAAATTTAACCAATCAAAGAAAAAAATGTTGTTAAATCTGTAAATAAATATATCCACCCCAGATATTTTATCAAAATTGGCCTTTCCAAATAATTTTCGATCTCAAACACCAAAAATGTATAGAAATTTTAACCTCTTCAGGGCGATTTAGAGCTAGTCCAGTTATTCGACTTATTTTGTTTCTTGGCATTAACCCTAACGGGTTTTTTACAGACTAGAATGTAAAAAACTTCACCTGATTGGGCTAAATTATTTTGTCAGCCTAGGAGATAATCAAATACTTTGGTAGTGAGTGTTGACAATAATAAAGCTTAAATTATAAAACGCTTGAAAAAAATATATTTTAGTTGTCTTTTTTATTTTATCCAGACGTAAATAAAACACCTAATCTGACTTTTAAATATCAAAAAAAAAACAGGGCTAAGGGTTTCACAACTATTAGTGCAAAATAGAGTTAGTTGGCCATTTAAATTGGTGTTTGGAGCATCAAAATTGGACAATATTATTTTTCTAAAAAGTTGGCTATGTACTTTTGCTTTATAATTTATTCAAAGCAAACAAAAAGTTACCTTATATTAAAAGTAATTCTAAAAAAAATGAGCGTAAATTTTGTAAAAAGAGATTTATTTTATTTTTAAAATTACGTTTTAAATTTTAAATTATTTAAGTAGGTATGTATGGTTGGGTCAAACTGAGATTTTTATGATTGACCTTACTATGTGTTTTGTTTTAATTTTTCTATAAAATTGCAAGAAACAAGTACAGGTTTTTCAGTGTTGACATAGATTGTAAGATGTGCACATAGTTTACATTAAATCTGAAGCGTAAGTAACTGTAATGCTTTATTTTTATTTATACATATATTTATGTATATTAGGGTAATTTAAAAAATTACTATTTTTTTTTACTTCTGATATCAAAAGCCTCTTATAGCAATTTTCCATTTTCAGATAAAAAAATTATATTTCACCTACAAATGAATATAAATATAAGCCCAATGCTCTAAATTATGTTTTTCCGTAAACCTAGCCTTTAAAACAAAATCTAAAGTCAAAGTATTGAAAAAAAATATATTTTTTTTAAATTTTATATCGCAGAGTTCCATTTCATAATGAGTAAATTTGTAAATTCACATTTTATCTATAATTTTATTTCAAAATATTTATTAAAAAAAAGTATTCTGGTACTGGGAATCGAATCCGAGCCTTCTTGATGAGAGATATTAAAAACATTTATTTGTCATATTAATAATAACATTGGAACATACGGGATATACTTTATATTAAAAAAAACTTATTATTCCGCGAGAGCGATTTTCTTCGAATCGCTTAGATACATTTATCGAAAAAAATATGGAAAACTTTTTGTAGATCAGTTAATTTTTAGCAAATATATGTACTCATTTCAAAATCCTTACTATCCTGCAAATTTAAAAAAATTATTTTCAAACATTGACCAAATATCTTTTGAATGGCTGAGTTAACGAAAAAAAACTAAGATACTTTTTTATAACATAAATTAATTTCTTTTATTTTAAATTATAAGTTATAATGTCCTACTCATTGCAAGAGAAAATTGACATGATAAGCTGGTCTTTAGTGGGCAATTATCTACGTCAAACAAGAGACCTATTCTGCCCTTTTATGGAGAAAGGCAGTAACTACAAAAAATTCTAAATGCGTTTTCTTGTGCTTAAAGCTATGGACATTTTGTATCTTAATTCAACAAAGAAATGCAGTAAACTATCTCATAAGTTAAATAAATCAATAAAATACTTACTGCTTTTTATAAAAATGTAGTTTATGCTAATTTTCCACAAATTTCTTGTTTAGCAGTTACTGCCTTTCTCCATAGTTGGGCAGTATTCGCAATTAAATATCCGGAACGTTCTATTCCTTCAATTGGAACAATAACAAACGTTATCCAAAAGTTTAAAACAAATGGTTGTATTTTGGGGTGCAAAGTCACAGTACTCCCAGAATTTATGTAGATGCGGAGATGAAAGAAATAATGGCTTGTGCTATGGTAGAAGAAGATTCAAATTAGTGTGGGTAAAGTCCACAAAATATTAAAGAAAAAATAAATATCGTTCATATAAATACCAAGTAGGTACATCAGGAAATTTTTCAAGACGACGTGTACCGGAGAATGGAATTTTGTGAAAATATGATGGAACGCGCAAATGAAGATGAACATTTCATTGAAAACATAGTATTTACGGACGAATCCACATTTCCATTAGGTACATGGAAAGCACAATCTTGCTACTGTCCGGTACTGGTCTATTGACAGGCAACTAAACTTAAAGACAATATCCTGAAAAGTTGAACGTGTGGTATGGTATTTATGGGAATAATATTATTGGTCCCTTTGTAATTGGTGGCAATTTAAATGGAGCGAGATATTTGGATCTTCTTCAAAATAGAATTAATCCAAAACATAACCCTAAATTTGGATAACGTTTGGTATCAACAGAACGGTTGCCCATCACATAACACAAGAATAGTGATGACGATTTTTCCCCAAAGGATAATTTCTATTTGTTCATGATAAATTTTATTTTTTAGAATGTTGACATTTTTTATTTTCACCACGTTTTTACTGATATTGGCAACATGGATTCTGAAACACTTTTATTCGAGAAAAAAATTATACGTTATTGCAAATAAAATGCATGGACCCATGGCATACCCTTTCATTGGAAATGCAGGCCTTTTTATATGCAGAGATGAAGGTAAAATAAGGTCGATTATTTATTAATTTTTTTTTATATAAAATTTTAGAAATTCTATCTAAAATTTACAATGTTATCGAAAAGTTTGAATCGCCCATGAGATTTTGGGTGGGACCTGAACTTGCTCTAATCACCACCAAACTAAATCATATACAGGTATAATATAAAAAAAATATTTTTACAAAAACCCTGTGGATTGCTAATTTTAGAGGATTTTATCGTCACCAAAATTCTACCATAAACATGATCTGTACAGATTCGTTAAATCCTATCTAGGAAATGGCTTAGTTTCTGGATCAGGTGAATAAATTAAAAAGAAATCACAATTACACTCACAATTATTATAAATTAAAATTTTAAGGGCCGACTTACAAAAAACACAGAAGAATAATACAGCCCCTGTTTAACTTGAAATATTGCACTAATCAAATCGAAATCATGCAAAAATATACAGACGTTTGCATGAAAAACCTGGAAAGTTATGTTGATAAGGGCACTTTTGATATTCATCTAATCAGTCACAAATGCTTTGTGGACATCATTGGTGGTAAGTAGATTTTTGGACATGAAAAGGTTGAAAAAATTCTAGGTTGTAGTCTACAGAGTTTACTTAAAAGACAATTACAAATTTTTAGAAAGATTGACCGTCTGGTTTTCGAGTAAAAAATTATTAAAGTGGCTAAGACTACACGGTATGATATCGTTTATTATTGCTAAACCGTGTTGTGAATGTTAACAAAAATTTATATGCCAATTCTATATCCTATACAGTCCATGTCTTTAATTATTGCTTATCTTCTAACGTGACATTGAAAAATTATTGATTTTTTTTCTCGTATGCACCTCGTATGCCTGTAGAAGTCCCATATAAATTTTTGTCAATTTTCACCGCACAGTTTTGCAACAATAAACAATAATGTTGACTGTCCAACCAAAATTATCACCTATTACCTTTTATAGTTTCCCTATTTTTGTTTTCTGCTCTTCTCGAGACTTTCGCTTCATTTAACATACTGCATGTTTTCTGTTGCTTTATTTTTGGTTTCCATACGTTTTTTTAATACTTTTTTTTAGTTTCGTTTCACAGAACAAATTAATTTGTTTTCAGAACTCATTTTAAGATTTTAAATGCATATAGAAATGTCACTGCATCTGTCAAAAGCAAAAAGCTATCAACAACTCGCAATGTTGTCGCTTTTAAATTCTATTTTTTACGTTTCTTTATTTCACGTTTCTTTGTTATATATATATATATATATATATATATATATATATATATATATATATATATATATATATATATATATATATATATATATATATATATATATATATATATATATATATATATAAATATATATATATATATATATATATATATATATATATATATATATATAGTGCCTTTTGTATTAAAATAAAAAAATATCTATAAAATTAGTTCGAATTTTTTTTTAATGAAGTGTAATAAAATGAAAACTCTTTCCCTAATGTACTTCCTGAACCCCCTTTAATTTGTTGTTGGGCGTTTGTCGCTTAAATCATGTGCAATATGTGAACCAAGCAACAGTTCATGCATAATTTAATTAGAAACGAGATCATTCTAAATAAAAGAACGCAGTTCATGTCACCATAACTTTTACAACCAAATGCAAAACACCACCATCGTATTTTAATATTGAAGTTGACAATGACAATTTGGTTCCCTACAATTAACAAAGATACACAACAATAGGCGTTACGCGTCCACTCCTTTAATATGTATATGGTTTGTCGTACGGCCATTTAAAATAATTTTTTTTTATATAAGTATAAATATTATTTTTAGAAACTATTTTGGGAACAAAAATGAATATTCAGAAAAATGGTTACACAAAATTTTGTAAATCAGCGATAGAGTAAGTAAATAAATACCGGATATTATTATTAATATTAATATAACTTTTATTTTTAGTATGTACGCCAATGGTTTCACTAGATTAACTCGTCCTTGGCTACATCCAGATTTTATCTACAAATTTACAAACAATTACAAAAGAGAGAAGGAAATTATAAAGGATATAAAGGATTTTTTAAACACGGTAATAAGCAATTGTTGTACTAAATGAAACATTATGAAATATAAAAAATATAGGGGAGTTAAATCTGGAGATCTGGCAGGCCAATCCAGAGCTCGTCTTCGTCTAATCATGTTAAATAAAACCTTAAATGTTCTTCCTTAGCAGTCGTCATTTTCATTCATTATTTTTTTTTTGTTATAATTTGTCTGCAGGTCATCGCATCATCATGGCAGAGGCGATCCTTGAACAACGCAAATATATCAGATGTCAGTCCTATAATAGATCAAATAGGGGAGTATATAAACCAAAATCCCAACTCAATTAGCAATACCGACTTTATCAGCCACATGATAACACTGTTCGCAGCTGTAAGTAACAAAAAAATCCTGGATTATACAATTTTGATATTCTTCATTTAAGGCTGAAGATACTATGACCATAATAACATCTTTTGTTTGTCTATGTTTGGGAATGTATCCAGAATATCAGGTAATTTTTTAACCTGGTAAATAAACATTTAGATTAAATTTGATTAGATTAATTAATGCTGAATCCACACTTTTTCAAAATGTCGAAACCAAATTTGTCCCTCAGATTTTTAAATTTTATTTCCTCAGCAAGTTTTTTAAGAAAATTAAATGCTCTACAAAAAAAGTTAAAATGAAATTTTCCTTAAAATCATGCCTTAAAAATTGGTATATTTTTATATTTTGATCTTTTAACTTTGGAATTTTGTAATTCATGTAAAAATCAGTACCCAGAAAAAAAACGATGAATATTCTTATGGCAAATCAAATGCTTTACAAAAAAGTCTCTTAACATTTTTGGCTAAATTCACTTAATCAAAAGTTATTCAAGGTTAAAGTTGTTTTTTTTTCCTCTGTAGATTTATTTTTTATGGGTGATAATTTGATTTTTTTTATAAATGTGTATTATATAACTAATTAACAATTTCCAATAAAAAAACAACACAATTGTTATTATTTAAACGATTAAATAGGTAACAGTGAAAATAGAATTTTCTAAAGAACATAGCTTCTTAATACGAAAAAACTCTAATGTGTTATTTTTTTTATTTTCAGTAATTTTATCAATAACATAAAGATTATCATCGGTAAAAGAATTCAAGTTTTTAACTGACCCAAAAAAAAATCTAGAGCCGAAATAGCAAGAGTTTCGTTTTAACTTGAATAACTTTTAATGGAGTGAATTTAGCCAAAAATGTTAGACTTTTTTTGTAGAGCATTTGATTTCCCATAAGAATATGTTTTATTTTTCCGGGTACTGATTTTTACATGAATTACAAAATTCCAAATTGTAAACCTATACCAATTTTTAAGGCATGATTGTAAAAAAGGGTTCATCTGACGGGAAATTCCAATCAAACCTTTTTTGTAGAACATTCAATTTTCTTCAAAAAATATTCTTAAGTCAATTTTGTTTAACTCAATGGTTTGGGAGTTCTGAGACAAAAACTCGCTCAGAAAAAAAAAATCTAAAATTGCGATGATAGACCTCTTAATATTAATATTATGGACTCAAACTTTTACCATAATTTTTTTTTGTCACCCCAAACAATATTTTCGATATAGGTACCTACTTTAAAAAAATAGTCGATGTGACATGTTTGTTGTTGATTCGATCCTAAAATAGTTGATTGTTTTTTACTAGAGTTAAAAATATCAATAGTAGTGTTTTCTTTTATAGAATAAAGCAGTTGAAGAAGTTAGACAAATTTTTGGAACAACACCTAGAACAGTGACGTACGAAGACATACAAAAACTGGAATATTTGGATATGTGTATTAAGGATGTGGAAAGGCTGTGCCCTATAGCTCCCTACATTTTAAGGCAGTGTCTTGAGGATGAGGAAATTAGTATGAAGCTGTTATTTTGCTAAAACACCCCGAAACTACACTTACAGGCTAAATAATCGATCCACACAAATTTTCGATGAATTTCAATCGCAAATAACTTTTTTATTTGATGTCGGATATAAACGAATATTAAAGAATATTGTAGATAAGTTAATGGACAATCACTTAAATTTTAAAAAAATATTAAAAAATAGACCTACGTTTATAATATACAGGTTTAAACAAAAAGATGTTTTTTACCATAAGTTTAAGACACTCTGTAGAGTGACAAAACCGTATATTGTTCTAAATTAAGTTTTATTTATCAAGTCACATCTATTCTTAACAGTTTTGTTTTTGGTCCACCTCGATATATTTATTTTTGTGGAAAATATAGATTTAAAAAAAAAAACATTGCAATTTCCAATATTTTTCTGTATGAAGAACTAAGGTTGCTATGGTCCATCCATAGGCTATGAAGAATGACAGTGACAGTTTTGTTGAATCATCCCATACTTGGACTGTCATACACGGCTTTCAAAAGCTATCAAATTGTTTTTTGCAAATTAATGTGTTCATTTTGAGGTGTCTTCTTACTTTAAAAATGGATATGTCTCCGACTGATGTTGCCAGAGCCATTAATTTAATCCAGGATGGACGGTCACAGTATTACGTGGCAAGGGTTTTAATCGTCACAAGAAGTAAAGTACAAAGGGTAACATCAATGGGAGACATTTTTAAAAGTAAGAAGACACCTCAAAATTAACACATTAATTTACAAAAAACAACTTCATAGCTTTTGAAAGCTGTATATGACATGTCCAAGTATGGGATGATTCAACAAAACTGTCACTGTCATCCTCCATAGGCTATGGATGGACCATAGCAACCTTAGTTCTTCATACAGAAAAAATATTGGAAATTTCTATTTTTTTTTTAATCCATATTTTCCACAAAAATAAATATATCAAGGTGAACCAAAAACAAAACTGTTAAAAATAGATGTGACTTGATAATTAAAACTTAATTTAGAACAATATACGGTTTTGCCACTCTACAGAGTTTCTTAAACTTATGGTAAAAAACATATTTTTGTTTAAACCTGTATATTATAAACGTACGTGCACGTATTTTTTAGTAATTTTTAAAATGTGAGCGATTCTCCATTAATGTATCTACAATATTCTTTAATATTTGTTTAAATCCGAAATCAAATAAAAAAGTTATTTGCGATTGAAATTCATCGAAAATTTGTGTGGATCGATTATTTTGCCTGTGAGTGTAGTTGTGAGCAAACGTACTCTTTTTTATTCTCCATTAATGTATCTACAATATTCTTTAATATTTGTTTAAATCCGAAATCAAATAAAAAAGTTATTTGCGATTGAAATTCATCGAAAATTTGTGTGGATCGATTATTTTGCCTGTGAGTGTAGTTGTGAGCAAACGTACTCTTTTTTATTTTAGATGAATCTCTAAAAATACCAAAAGGAGCTTGTGTTGTGGTTCCCATTTTTAATATCCATCGGAATCCAGAATTGTGGAAGAATCCTTTACATTTTTATCCCGACCATTTTTTACCGGAAGCTGTCTCAAAAAGGCATGTTTACGGTTTTGTTCCCTTCAGTGCAGGCCCTAGAGGTTGCATAGGTAATAAAGTATTAAAAACCTTTTTTAATAAATTTTCTAAAAAAAGGTTTTTGAGATATTCTTTAAAGTAGTACTCTATTTTAGGAAAAATATTCGCCAACGTATGTTTAAAAACGTTTCTTGCAAACTTCTTGCAAAGGTTTGAAGTTGAGGCAGATGGAAAATTTCCGGATGTCAAATTAAAAATGGACATATCCACAAGACCAATTGATGGATATAAAATTAGACTTAAAAAACGAGTTTGGAAGTAAAAACTTTTTAGGGTTGAAATGATTTTTGAGCATTTTTTAATCTATATCTATAATAAAAGATACTCTAATGTAATGCTTATTTGTGTATTCTGTATTGCATACATATAAGATTGATATGTTTAGAATTGCTGAAGTAGGTATCTAATAAATAATAATTAATAATTGTCTTAATTTCCTTTAACAAATAATCTAGATCAATTGAAAATTTTAAATTCTATACTATTTAGTTTTTTTGTGTTGTTACAGAAACAACTTTAGGCTTGGCTTTCCTCCTAGTAGATAAGAAAAAATTCTTGATCAAACATGCCGAAAAAAAAATTCAGCATATATTGACGATTTCTATAGAAATATATATGGGTGATTATAAAGAAACTATCATTTTCAATAAAATAATTTGAAAATAGTTTTTTTGTTCTTGTTTTAACTCTGGACTGTATTTTAAACCTTCTTTTTTATTAAAACCAAACCATTTTTCCTTTTGTATATATTTTTTAATATCTTAATAATGACGTATCTGTCTAGAAACTCCTGAATCACAGCAGTCTACATACAAAAGTTACAAACCAAAAATAACAAATAAATTTCACCGCATAACAGGTGGCGACACAGTTAATGTCACTTGGCGCGAACATGCCGCCCTCTTTGGAAAGCTAAAGCTTTCAAACTTCAACTGGGAGAGGACAAATCTTCTGAAAGTTTCTTTTGACACACACTTCCCACACTGGTTCTTATTGAGGCGACGCGAGCTGTACCATCTTGACCCTTATGTAAACTGACTATTCGTCCAAGACGCCATTCAGTGGGTAAGGATAGGTCATCTTTAATCAAAACTAATTGGTTTTCGAAAAGTTCGCCATGACTAGCCTTCCATTTCTGACGTATTTGGAGTTCAACGATGTAATTACGTTCCCAACGTTTCCAAAAGTGTTGGCAGATCCTCTGCATCAACTGAAATCTTGTAAGACGATTCAACTTGACATCCATAAGGTTTTCATCTGGCGCCGATATCAATGTTCTGCCGATGAGGAAGTGACTCGGGGTGAGGGCACTAAGGTCGCTAGGGTCGGATGAGAGTGGGACAAGGGGCCGAGAATTTAAAATAGCCTCGATCTGGCAGAGTACGGTACTGAACTCTTCGAAAGTAAGGTAAGCATTGGCCAAGACATGTTTTAAATGGGACTTTACACATTTTACATTAGACTCCCACAAACCACCCATGTGTGGAGAATATGGAGGGATAAATTGCCAGTCTATGCCCTCTCCAGCACTTAACGATTTAATGTTTTTTGTATTTACACTTAAGAACCTACCCAATTCACGAAAGGCACCAACAAAATTTTTGCCATTATCCGATACAATCTTGATCGGCTTTCCACGTCTGGACACAAATCGTCTTAACGCCTGTAAGAAAGACTCAGTGGAAAGACTCGATACTAACTCAAGGTGCACAGCCTTCGTGGAAAAGCATATGAATAAACTAATGTAACATTTTTCAAATTTTCCGCCGCGACCTTTACTTAAGCCGTGACGCACTGTAAAAGGACCAGCATAATCAATCCCAACGCAGCTAAATGGAGGGGAGGGAACTATTCTTTCGCGCGGAAGGTTACCCATTAAGGGCTGCACAGTATTGCCGCGAAACCTGGCACATTTGACACAACTTTTTACAGTAGAACGCGCTAAGTTACGTCCACCGACAGGCCAAAATTCTTCTCTTATAAAAGCTAATAGATTTTGAGGACCTACATGCAAGTGACGAAGATGCTCATAAGCAAACAATAACTTGGTAAAATGATGAACCGAATCCAACACCACAGGGTGCTTTCTACCAAAACTGAGATCCGAATACTCTAATCGGCCGCCAACGCGCAGTACATTCTCGGTATCTAAGAAAGGTGTTAAATTTAGCAACTTGCTTTTGCTATCTAATCTGTAATTCTGTAATAAATTTGAAATTTCCTTAGAAAAAGATTGTTCCTGCGACATTCTTATTAAAACCTTTCGCGCCCGATCCAATTCTTGTCTAGATAAAAACTCAGTAACACGATCAATTTTCATACCTTTACAATTTTCTATAAATCGCAACATATACGCAACGGATCTTAATAAACGCTTATAACTAGAAAATTTTTCGAAAGGAAAAATATCCTCTGGACATGCCTGCACCGCAACGCATGTCTGTTGTTTCAACTCTGGTAAATCACTTAGTTTGCATTTTAAAATTGGCCACTCGTGTTTTTCTAAAACTAACCAAGAAGGCCCATGCCACCAAATTAGTGTCTTTGACAACTCACTAGGATAGAGCCCTTTCGTAACTAAATCGGCTGGGTTGTCTTTCGTGGGCACATAGCGCCATTCACTCTCGTTGGACAAATTTTGAATTTCCGAAACTCTATTTGCCACAAAAACCTTTAATAAATTTGGACTAGTGTTTATCCAAGCAAGAGTTATTTGTGAATCACACCACGAAAAACATTTATCGAACTTAAGATTCATCGATTTTCGAATCTTGTCCATTAAACGTGAGAGAACCAGCGCGCCGCATAATTCAAGACACGGTATACTTATTGTTTTAATAGGGGCCACTTTACTTTTTGCAGCTAACAAGTGAACATGTACTTTTCCCTCGATATCAGTACTTCTGACGTACGCGCATGCTCCGAACGCGCGCTCGCTTGCGTCACAGTAACCGTATAATTCAATTCGTTGCGCATTGTCGCACACTACTCTTCTGGTTACAGACAGATTCATCAAATCTGGCAAATCTCCCAAAAATCTGAACCACCGGTCGGATAAATGCTTGGGCAAAGCATCATCCCAACCTAGTTTTTCAAACCATAAACTCTGCATTAAAATTTTAGTAATAATTATTACCGGGCTGACCAAACCTAATGGATCAAATATTCTAGCATTTACTGATAAAATAAGCCTCTTGGTACATTTTTTAGTGATATTAATGTCTTCCAAAGAGTAAAGCAACTTGTCACTCTGACAAGACCAAATCAAACCCAGCGTCTTAGCATTTTCCCCGGGACCAAACTCAATAATTCCAAAAGGGGAATCCTTATTCTCGATATGAGCCAAGACTTTCGGTTCGTTAGAGTACCATTTTCGCAATTCAAAACACCCGCTTCGTAATACTGCCGAAACCTCGCAACAAATATTCTGCGCATGCGCGATGGTATCCGCCCCGGTTAGCAAGTCATCTACGTAAAAGTCTTTGCGGATTATTTCCGCAATGTCCGGCTTATAATCTTGACATTCAGTCGCTAATTCAAAAAGGCATCGAATAGCTAGGTAACTTGCGCAGGCGTGGCCGTAGGTTACAGTATTAAGTGTATATGCATTTAGTGGATTATCAGTACAAGCACGCCATAATATTTTTTGTAAATTTCTTTGCTTAGGATTAACAAGCACTTGCCGATACATCTTGGCACAATCAGCTGATATTACGTATTTGTGTTGTCGAAATCGCAGAATGATTGATAACAAGTCTTCTTGCAAGATGGGACCGACGTGTTGAATGCTGTTGAGCGAGATACCATTACTGGTAGGAAAGGATGCATTAAAAACTACTCGCAAACGCGTGGTCTTGCTGCACTCACGCAAGACTCCATGATGAGGCATAAAATACTCATAGCTAGCATCGCTCACCTGATTATCCGCTAAACTCATATGATTTAAACTTAGGTACTCGGAAAGAAATTCGTTATACAGACTTCTCAATGTTTCGTTTTTACTTAGTCTGCGCTCTGTACTATAAAACATCTTCTGCGCTTGCAAACGCGAATCGCCCAAACAACTAGGATCTTGTTTTAACGGAAGAGTTACTATAAATCGCCCGTGAGAATCTCTCGTAATTGTTTGTTCAAAAATGCGCTCACATTCGAGCTCCTCGCGAGACAAAGGTTTGGCAACACCGCACTCTTCAGTTTCCCAAAACTTTGACAACATCTTGCATAACTCCTGATTTACACTCAAATTACACGATGTGTTGTTGACAGTATCATTATCGCTGACACGCCCGGAAACGATCCAACCCAGTACAGTTTCCTGTAAAACCGGCTTATTTTTACCACAAAAAATCTTATTAGGCTTAATTATAATCCAAAACAGTTCTGCTCCTATTAACATGTCAATGGGAGCGGGTATGTTAAATTCAGGATCTGCTAACTGCAAATTATCAGGAATATTTAAAGAACTAACATCGACCCCCCAAGACGGAGTCATACTAGTGATGTTAGACAGCACGAAAACACGTAAGGCTGGCTTTAAAATCATTGTACCGAGAATTTATATTGACAACGCATTTTTGCTTTATTCTAGAAACATTACTTGATATGCCCAAAATATTTAAATTTGTACCACTTGTTTCAAGTCCCAAGCGATTTGATAACTTTTCGGTAATAAAACTTGACTGCGATCCGGAGTCAAGCAGTGCACGTACCGCTACTGGTTGACCAAACTTGTCAAGAAGTATAATTTTTACCGTAGACAATAAAACCTTGTAAAAACCTGGATTGTCTACGCCACTGGCTAAAACATTAACATTATTTAAATTTATCTGATCTGGTTTAGATATTACCACAGTACTAGATGGATCGCTCTCCGGATGCAAAAGCGTGTTATGCCAGGCCTTGCATTTTCTGCAGGGGCCAGCCCTACATTTTTTACTCGTATGATTACTCAAGAGGCAAATTGTGCATAACTTAGCTTTTTCAACAAAATTTATCTTTTTTGCTAATGGCAAACCCAAAAAATCCCCGCATTTGTAAATCGAATGATTGTTTTTACAATAAAAACAAGAAAACCCCTTCACAGAATCAGTAGAAACCAAAGATTTTGAACCTTGCCTAAAATCCCTTTTATTTTGCTTGTTATTTTCGTGGTTTGGATTATTTGAACTCGATTTGTACTCTAGGGTTTCTAACAAATCTGCACGGTTGCGCAAAAATATTTTTAAGTCTTCTAGTGTAGGAGAACTCAAGCTAACAGAATGC